GTAGATTAAGAGGTGTTAGGTGTAACCTTCACTTCCCGAGTCTCTCCTGGCTATTAAACCCTAAGTGTTTCTCTCGCCTGCTGATGGCCTCTGAGTTTGTGGTCTTCACTCAGCCTCGCTTGTTTCTCTGAAATTGGATATTTCCGCCGGAAAGAAACAATAAATTTCCCAGACACTCACTCATACGTTATATTTCTCACACAACTCTATATATATATATATATATATATATATATATATATATATATATATATATATATATATATATATATATATATATATATATATATGTCGTACCTAGTAGCCAGAACGCACTTCTCTGCCTAATATGCAAGGCCCGATTTGCCTAATAAGCCAAGTTTTCCTGAATTAATATATTTTCTCTAATTTTTTTCTTATGAAATGATAAAGCTACCCATTTCATTACCTATGAGGTCAATTTTTGTTATTGGAGTTAAAATTAACGTAGATATATGACCGAACCTAACCAACACTCCCTAACCAAACCTAACCTATCTTTATAGGTTAGGTTAGGTTTAGTAGCCGAAAAAGTTAGGTTAGGTTAGGTTAGGTAGGTTAGGTAGTCGAAAAGTAATTAATTCATGAAAACTTGGCTTATTAGGCAAATCGGGCCTTGCATAGTAGGCTGAGAAGTGCATTCTGGCTACTAGGTACGACATATATATATATATATATATATATATATATATATATATAGCCAGGAGAGACTCGGGAAGTGAAGGTTACACCTATATATATATATATATATATATATATATATATATATATATATATATATATATATATATATATATATATATATATATATATATATATATATTATTAAATATGACCGAAAAAGTAAGATTAATAATTCTAACGCGAATTTTCTCTATCTTTCTTACGTTTCTTTTCACTGTTGATGGTAATTCAAAGATCAATTCTCCAAAATTCATTTTTATTTGATGAATTTTTATCTATGAATTTTGGAGAATTGATCTTTGAATTACCATCAACAGTGAAAAGAAACGTAAGAAAGATAGAGAAAATTCGTGTTAGAATTATTAATCTTACTTTTTCGGTCATATATAATAATATATGTCTACAGGAAAGACTGCTACCAAAATATATATATATATATATATATATATATATATATATATATATATATATATATATATATATATATATATATATATATATATAGAGAGAGAGAGAGAGAGAGAGAGAGAGAGAGATTCAAAGCGTTATATGACAAAGAGTACTGGGAAGACGGGACACCGCGAGCGTAGCTCTCATCTTCGTAACTACACTTGGGTAAATTATCATCAACATTTCCGTGGAAATTAACATTCTATTCACCTGGGCTGTATACATGGATGGATGGATAGATGGATAGCCTCACACGCTTGGGGTCCACGGTTCGAGCCCCATACAGCCCAAGTGAAAGGATTACACTTAGATAATTACACACACACATACATCAGAGGAGAACCACAGCTTATATTCGAGAATAAGGAATAAATACAAGGGAGTTCGTAGAGCAGCAGCGAAGCAGTATAAAAATGATATAGCCTCCAAGGCCAAGGATCAGCCTTGGCCTTGAATGCCATATAATTTTCTGTATACTATAAAGCCACATGAGGAGAAATATGTCGGTAAACGAGCAAGTGATCAGACTACGTAAAAGAGGCGGAGGCTACACAAAGAATGATAAAGAAGTGTGTGAAGACCTCAATAAAAGCTTTCAAGCAGGTTTTAAATATGAACGAGAAATGTCTTCAGACGTACGACTCTTAATGGAACAAGTGCTACTAGAAGAATGAATGATTGAAATAGAAGTAACATCAGAGGAAACAAAGGAACTGGATGTGATGAGGGCGACAAGCCCCGACAAGATCTCACCATGGATCCTAAATGAGGCAGCTGCAACATTGTGTGTACCCGCTGCTATAGTCTTCAACTCCTGCGCTTGAAACGGAGTACCTGAGCGTGAATAGGCCAATGTCAGAGCACCTGAGTTTGAACGGGCCAATGTCAGAGCACCTGAGTTTGAACGGGCCAATGTCAGAGCACCTGAGTTTGAACGGGCCAATGTCAGAGCACCTGAGTTTGAACGGGCCAATGTCAGAGCACCTGAGTTTGAACGGGCCAATGTCAGAGCACCTGAGTTTGAACGGGCCAATGTCAGAGCACCTGAGTTTGAACGGGCCAATGACAGAGTACCTGAGTGTGAACGGGCCAAAAATAGAGCGCATGAACGAGCCAATGACAGAGCACCTTAGTGTGAACAGGCCAATGAGAGCACCATGCTGGAAAGGGGAGTGGCCTCTCTGGCCAAGAAAGTGACCCATATGGTAGAGGAAAGTCACTATGTGTGTGGTTCATCCTATGAAATGGCTCATGTTGTAACAACCTAACAACCAAACTGTTACAAGAGTGTGTGTAGGCTGGGGCTAGGAAGCCTCTCTTCCTTCTTCTGTCTCCCTCTTTCCACCTACACACCCCCCCTCTCTCATACCTATCCCCCTCCCAACTTGAGATTACAACCAGAAAAGTCATTTTCGTCCTTCCTGCTCTGACTTGTCAATGTGGCTCCAAGGGGCCTGCTCCCCCTCCCTACCTGGTCTCTCCCTGCCAGCCTCGGAGTTTCCTCTGATGGGTACACCTCATTATTATTATTATTATTATTATTATTATTATTATTATTATTATCATTATTATTATTATTATTATTATAAATCAGATAATTCTCACTAACGTAATATTTCGAATCCAAGACCCTAGGGCAGGTAAGCAGGGGATGGAAGGCTGGATCGAGGATGCAGAAAACGCGAGCAGGGAACAGGGTACAATTGGGAGGAGGAAGAGCAGAGCTCTGTGGTCTAACCACCGCGGGTTTGACATGGCAGTGATACTCTACGGTGTCCTCGTTGTCCACGTGCATCCCCGGGCGTCGCACAGGGGCTCGACTCCTAGGCTGTTTAGAGTGGTAACACCAACGACTACTACCAGTTGGTGGCAGTTGTTGGTGTTACTTCACCGTTAGGTCTTCGTCTGCCGGTCTTCTGACCTCAGAGCTCCTCTTACTTCCTTCTACTGGCATGTTGCGTCAAGCTTGGGTCGTTGGTTTTCTTGGGGTTCGTGGTAGTCTTACGTCTTGACATTGCAGAGTTGTCGTTCGAGACAACTCTGCTCTTGCTACTCTAGCAGTTGCTCGAGCAACTGGGATGCTCTTGGACGCAGGTTCGAATCCTCGTCATGGCCCCTGTGGATTTGTTCATTGTCGTTCGAGGTTGTAGGTGTGGTGTCCAGAAGGAAATGTTGAGGTCTGTAGTTGGACTTAAGTTGGGGAGGGCATGACGCTCCAACTGAGACATCTTTGTCTGACGAATCGCTTGAATCACAAGCAGAGACAGTGGTCCTTGGAGGTTGAGTAGCAGCCGGTCCTGCAGCCGGAGTAAAAGGCTCAGTGGGCGTGTACAGGGTCCGTGGCGCGATGGTAGTAGATGGTTCTGAAGGAGGTACGGCAGATACAGGGATGGAGGGTGACGCTGCAGTATATGTCGTCGGATGTAAGGTTCCGGTGCTGCTTCCTCCACTGTACCTATCGGAACGGGTGTTGCAGCAATGGACAGAAGATCTATGACCGCGGCGGCGTTCACATTGATGTCTGGGTCAGAGAAGAACTCGTAACTGGGGTAGAGGTAGACTTCCTCAGGGACGGCGAAAGTCGGGAGGCCATTTGCAGCGTAGAGTATCTTCAGAATCCTCACACATTCCTGGTAGCCCCCGTGGTTAGAGCGTACACCGTGCTGGGGAGTGTTAGGAGCCGGTATCTGCCGTGGCGAAGGCTTGGTCGCTGATTGGCTGCTGGACTGGGAGCTGGGCCCCCCATTGGCTGGGTTGCTGCGGGGTAGCTCTTCCTCTCGGGAGCTCCGGGAGGAGGTGGATAGGTGGGCGGGCGGAGGGTTGACAGGCAGGTGGGCGGGTGATGGGTTGACAGACAGGTGGGCGGGCGGAGGGTTGACAGGCAGGTGGGCGGGTGGAGGGTTGACAGGCAGGTGGGCGGGTGGTGGGTTGACAGGCAGGTGGGCGGGTGGTGGGTAGACAGGCAGGTGGGCGGGTGGTGGGTTGACAGGCAGGTGGGCGGGTGGAGGGTTGACAGGTGGGTGGTGGGTTGAGAGGCAGGTGGGCGGGTGGTGGAGAACAGGAAGTGAGGGAAGCTGGAGGAAGGGGTGAGGGAGGGAGGGAGGCAGGAGGGTGGGGGGGGGCGGCACGGGGACTGAGAGCTAGTGTGAAATGAGGACTTCGATAAGATAAGGAAGTGATGCGTGCCACTCATTGGCCCTTGATACTTTAAAGTGGTGGCAGGCACCCTCAGACACTTATTAACAGAGGTGTCAAGCGCACCCTGACGCCTTGACGGGGTGTCAGGCGCCCCGGACACCTTGACGGGGTGTCAGGCGCCCCGGTCACCTTGACGGGGGTGTCAGACGGCCCCGACACGGCTTAGTTTACATTTGTAAATCAGTTTACGAGCTCGGAAGCATTACGAAATTCTTTATAACAATAACAACCTTTGGTTGTGAAGTGTTATCAAGCTCAGTTATCAAGTATCAAGTTATTGTGAAGGTTGTTATCACGCTCATAAACTATTTAGTAATTGTAAACAAAGCCGCCAAAGCTGAGGAAAGATGTAAGATCCACAGCGTGGTTAATCAGGTAACCTTTCAAGGTGTATGTATCCAGTTAAGGGTGTATGTGTCCAGTTAAAGGTGTATGTATCCAGTTAAAGGTGTATGTATCCAGTTAAAATCAAGATGTGAGGAAGGGTGTGGTGCTTGACAGCTAGAAGAAAGAAGACCGGTGTTGAACTGGTAAACAAAACAGGAGCTCGTTTGATTGGCGAGGGTCAAACGAGCTCCTTGACGGGGGTGTTGACGATGGCGGGAAGTGGGAAACACAAAGTCCAGATTAGACTTTATTAAAGGCAGGAAATGCTTTCACGGGAGGGTGACAGCGTTACACGGGAGGGTGACAGCGTTACTCAGGAGGGTGACAGTGTTACACGGGATGGTGACAGTGTTACACGGGATGGTGACAGTGATACACGGGATGGTGACAGTGATACACGGGAGGGTGACAGTGTTACACGGGAGGGTGACAGTGTTACACGGGAGGGTGACAGTGTTACACGGGAGGGTGACAGTATTACACGGGAGGGTGACAGCGTTACACGGGAGGGTGACAGCGTTACACGAGAGGGTGACAGCGTTACACAGGAGGGTGACAACGTTACACAGGAGGATGACAACTGCATTCATATATTAATTTATTACGGAGCTAAAGTTTAAATATAGAAGCTCATCCGACTGCAGCAGAATTATATTTAAGCCTTTCAGACTCATGGTATAATATATACTAACCCACATCTACGTTTTTATAACGATAAAGTTAGAATGAATACAAAATGTTAAGATATCTCCAATGACGTCATGAAACCTATTACGTCAGAGGACCCCGCATAGCAAGTTTTGGCGAGGTTTTAATTTGGTCGATATTCTTCCTAGGCTATTTTGCTGACAAGCGACGCATATTACCGCCACTAAAAATAAATTCTATGATTTTTTTTTTTTTTCATTTTGCTTTCAGCTGTTTATAGTTGATCAATCCAGGAGACTCAGCTATAAGTAGTAAGACTCGGGTTAAGTTTAAAGCGTAGCCTCTTCAGAATTTTAGTGTCCAGTAGTGTGTTTTTTTCCCTATATTTTATCTAATGGCGGCGAACTTTTCACCTCCTTCATCATTTCCACCCGGCTATATAAAATATGCTGCCTCCATTTTTGCCTGTCCACCTGTCCCCGCCAGACCGGCTTCCCGCCGACTCACCCATAAAAGAAGCCTTATCTTCCTCAAACAAACATTGATTCTTTTCTTGAACGAGGAGGGGGGGGGGGGGGGAGGAGGGAGCCTCTTGTCCGTCCTGGGAAAAATATGGCGCAGTTTCGATTTTTAAAGGTTTGATTTTAGTGATGGTAGAGGGAAGGAGGGGGGGGGGGTTGTTGTTGTTGTGGAAGATTGGGGGGGGGGCTTATTATGGTTGTGTTGGGGAGGGGGGATAGGGGTAGGGTAAGGGGGAAAGGGTGATGCTAGTGAGTAAATATTAATGTGTGACCTGAATGCTCAACCCGTCCTCCAAATAGAACGTCGCATTTTGGACGTATACTCTACCTAAAGCCAACATTTCGGCGTACTAGAAAATGGTAGCGACTGTCAAGAGTGACAGTACTGTCCCGTTTTCTGTTTTGGGTCCTCTGGTTAGGTTAGGACAGGGGTATATATAAGTGCACTAATCAACCGGGAGACGGCTTTACGGGCTATTCATGCCCGTGCCACCTCTTGGGTGTGGCTTAATCTTCATCAATCAATCAATCGGGAGACGTCTTTACGGGCTATTCATGCCCGTGCCACCTCTTGTATGTGGCTTAATCTTTATCAATCAATCACCGGGAGACGTCTTTACGGGCTATTCATGCCCGTGCCACCTCTTGGGTGGCTTAATCTTTATCAATCAATCACCGGGAGACGTCTTTACGGGCTATTCATGCCCGTGCCACCTCTTGGGTGGCTTAATCTTCATCAATCAATCAACCGGGAGACGGCTTTACGGGCTATTCATGCCCGTGCCACCTCTTGTGTGTGGCTTAATCTTGATCAATCAATCACCAGGAGACGTCTTTACGGGCTATTCATGCCCGTGCCACCTCTTGTGTGTGGCTTAATCTTGATCAATCAATCACCAGGAGACGTCTTTACGGGCTATTCATGCCCGTGCCACCTCTTGTGTGTGGCTTAATCTTCATCAATCAATCAACCGGGAGACGGCTTTACGGGCTATTCATGCCCGTGCCACCTCTTGTGTGTGGCTTAATCTTGATCAATCATCAACCGGGAGAGGAGACACGTACCAACAACCAAGAGACGAGTGTCTCCGGGAAGATAATTAAGAACAGGTGTTGGTGTCGCTGGTGTAATGAGATGCAGGTCTCCACAGGCGCTTCATCAACTGTCTGAGTTAATGAAATAATACCACTGAGGAGCCCTGGCTTGATTACTCCCGGCCTCTCTACCTCTTTCAGGCCGGCCTACTTTACCACTCTCGCCCCCCCTCTACCACTGTGGAGCCCTCTCTACCACTGTGGAGCCCTCTCTACCACTGTGGACCCTCTCTGCCACTGTGGACCCTCTCTACCACTGTGGAGCCCTCTCTACCACTGTGGACCCTCTCTACCACTGTGGACCCTCTCTACCACTGTGGAGCCCTCTCACCAGCACTGCGCCACTCTCTCTCTCTCTCTCTCTCTCTCTCTCTCTCTCTCTCTCTCTCTCTCTCTCTCTCTCTCTCTCTCTCTCTCTCTCTCTCTCTCTCTCTCTCTCTCTGCTAATATTTCCCATTTCCAAATAATGCTGCCCATTATATTTTATGACCTACTAGAAGGGGGTACCCGGCGGTGCCCGGGAAAGTGTGTTCCCTCCCCCCTCACCTCCATTCCCTCCTCCCCCTTCCCGCCCTTCTCCCTCTCCTTTTCCTCTGCCTCTTCCCTCTCATGTCCAACATTCCCCACCCCCCTTACTCCCAATCCTTCCCCTTCCCCTTCTCTCTATGTGTGTATATACTGAGGTTTGTTGCTCAGTGTATGTATACTGAGATATATATATATATATATATATATATATATATATATATCTATATATATATATATATATATATATATATATATATATATATATATCTATCCCAAGAGGGCCGTTTATCTGTGTATATACACTGAGATGTATATTTCACAGGGAAACACAGAGATCTGATTCTCATTGTATATTGAGATGTCTATTTCTGAGTGTGTGTGTGTGTGTGTACATTGAGAGGTCTGTTTCTTAATGTATATAGTCTGAGAGGTCTGAGTGTTGTGGTCTTGTACATGGCGTCGTGGTCTGAAATAGTGCCATGAGATCATTTATCTAACAGCAAAGGTTGCGGCAGACCTTATTTCCTGTACAATAGCAGCCCGACTGCATTCATGGGTGTCAGGGAGGGGGGAGAGAGAGAGAGAGAGAGAGAGAGAGAGAGAGAGAGAGAGAGAGAGAGAGAGAGAGAGAGAGAGAGAGATGTAAAAACCTGAGGTACTCGAGCGGAAACTAAAAAAAAAATGGGATGGCTATGGGATGATTGTAGTCCCCAACATGACAGTAGATCAGGCTATGGGATGATTGTAGCCCCTAAGGAGAGAGAGACGAGTTTTATCTCAACAGTACGAAGGGTATCATTGAGTTTGTTAAGGTTAAATGAAGAATTGAGAGACAATGTAGATTACATTGTGCGTAAGCTTACGGTAGATGGATAAAAATAAGTGCATCTAGGAAGGGAATTCGAATCTGATTGAACTTTAACATTGACGGGAGGAGCCAGACTGTTGGGAGAAGCAGGTTGAAAAGGTTGGGAAAGAATAGTATTTTTGAGTCTAGGACCAAGCAGGCAGGAGGCAGGAGACACAGGGGGTGTAGGAAGGATGTCAGGAAACACTTGTTTTGTGGAAGTGTCTCCGGCATGTGGAGTGGTATTTTACACACACACACACACACACACACACACACACACACACACACACACACACACACACACACACACACACACACACAGGAGAGAGAGAGAGAGAGAGAGAGAGAGAGAGAGAGAGAGAGAGAGAGAGAGAGAGAGAGAGAGTATGCTAGTAGGAGCCACAGGAGGCACAAGTGCCGTGATGAAGTTATCTCTAAGTTAGAGGTTGCCGGACGCTGTGAGCATAGAACCCAAACTTGGCCTTGGTGGCCCGAATAATTTCAGAGTGCCAGGCACATCCTCCTTGGTGGCACTGATACACCAGAGTGCTAGGCTGCTGCTCCTTGGTGGCACTATGAACCAGGAGACACATGAGATCTAATAAAGATCGACATGAGGCGAAAGCTGATCGCTTAGTAGAGATCAACGCTATGCGAAGGTGGCCGCTTGTGTAAGTCGACTTTATACTTGAGTGGCCGCTAGTACAGGTCGACGGTAAATAGCTGTGCGCTCCCCCCCCCCATTTCAGGCGGCCCCCAAACAAGTTTGGAAATTTTGAAAACAATTTGGTATAATGACCCAAAGTTTTCCAAGTTGGCGTAAATCAGGATTGTGGCGCCACTGTCATTACCTTAACTATACAAACATTGCTGATAAATCACTGTTTGTCTTGTGCCTTGAAGGAGGAGGGGCATAACGTTGATAATTAGTTTTAACACTTTCTGCTGAAGAATTTTGGATTGGCTCAAGTCTCATTCAAATTGACGGAGGAGTGGTCTGCGGTACGGGAGGAACAGACAGAGACAGAGACAAAGAGACAGGTAGACACAGAGACAGAGAGACAGAAATAGAGAAAGAGAGCGAGAGAGAGAGAGAGAGAGAGAGAGAGAGAGAGAGAGAGAGAGAGAGAGAGAGAGAGGAGATATGAGAGACAGAACATGATACAGAGGGACAGACACAGACATAGACACAAAGACAGACCAACTAGACCTTGTCACTGCCAGGTGGGTGTCGTTAAAAAAGGGGGTCTCGGTAGTACAGTCGGTTTCGTTCTCGACGCACAATCGACCATTCCGGGTACGAATCCCGGGCGGGACAGAAGCGAATGGATGGCGAGTCGTCACTAGGGGGGGTCATCGTTTGGCTTGTTAGACGTGCATGGCTTACCTGTGTGTGTGTGTGTGGTGGGTCGGGCGGTAGCTCCTGAGCCTTACTAAGCCAGCTCTAGGCTGTCTAATGGAGTGATTTCCTCGCCTCTCCGAGGCTCTTGTGGGTTGAAGCCGAGTGGGCTTTACCCTGACCATTCCGGAACTTCATCCGGGTTCGAATCTTTTTCGTGTATTTTGTCTGACGATTTTGGTCCTCGTGGAACTGCACTTGTGGCCTCTGTTTGCTCTGACTCCTCTCACCATAACGATCTGTTTCATTTCAGAGAGGTACTCTCCCCGGGAAACTATTAAATGGCAATGGCTTATTCTTCGTGTTCCTGCTTTGTTGCTTTTTGCCTTGATACGAATTACAATGACTGGAAATGGGTAACCATCGTACTAAAAACCATATCTGATAAAATCTATCTATGTACAGTATAAGCGAATTAAGAATGTGGGGAAGTCTATCCAGAATAAGAATTGATCAAACTAACAAGCACAGTTAACAAAATAGAAAGCTGAAGGAAATTATGAAGAACTTACAGCAGGACAGGCAATGAAAAATGTTAATGGCTATTTTTTTTTTAGATATGTCAAAGATCATTGAAAAGACAGTGCCATTGAACACTGAGACAGGACAACCAGCTGACAATGACAAAGAAATGAGTAGTATTTTAATTATCACTTTGTCTTTGTACTTACTAGAGCAGACCTTAATAATATCACTTGAGCTGAACAAAGCTGTGTAGATGGTGAAGGGGACAAGTTGACTAGTGGTCACACGGAAGGAAGTTATTAAACAAATACCAAACATTGTAGCTCAACAAGTCCCCAGGGGCCAGAGGAAGTATTTGCCGGAGTTGTTAAAGAATGTAAAGAGGAGTTTAGAGAGCCCCTTCTTGTCTTGTATATTTAATGAAGCATTAGTCGTGTACAACACCGGCGTCTTGGAGGGTTGCTAATGTGGTGCTGATGCTTAAGAAGGGAGACAGATCACTGGCGTCGGACAACTGTTGTGGGAAAGTGGCTTCAATCAATGATCGTAGTAGCAAATCGTTTACATTTTGAAACTCATAGATGTAGTAGTAGTGGTAGGCATCCATCAGTCTCAGGAGACTATGGAGTTGCGCTCTGGTTGTCGGTCTGGAGTGGCCTCACCAGGGCGCAAAGCCAGGGTAGGTTGATTCGGGGGAGAAGCTGTTACCCAGGCAGCAGGTCCCACTCTCCACGGCGCTGAAAGTCTCCAATGGAAAGGCATAGATGAGTTTTGTAGGAAATGTAGATGTTTATCTCTCAGAATGTTTGGTAATATGTTTATTGTTTGTGATGTGTGTCTATGTATGTATTAACACGATGTACTGAACGGGGTGAGAATAGCTTGAGCTACCTCATCCCTTTGTGTGTATTTTACCTCAATAAACTTATTTCAATTTCAATTTCATAGATGAGCGAGTGATTCAGACCACGGGTTAACTAAGAGCTGCTCGTGTTCAACAAATTTTCTCTCATTCTTTTCCAGCAATTTTTGCAGCGGTTGACAGAGGAAAAGACTGCGACATTTTATACCTTGACTTTAGCAAAGCATTTGATACTCTGCCTCCAGAGACACATTAGAAATGCAGAGGCACATTATATTGGGGAACTTATTAGGACATGAAAGATAAAGGAAACTCGTATGGGCCTTTTGCCCCCCATACGAGACCGTCTTATATCCAACCACCTCTCTCATATATATATATATATATATATATATATATATATATATATATATATATATATATATATATATATATATATATATATATATATATATATGTGTGACCTGCGATAGAAACACTCCTAATGATCTAAAATGTTACCCCCCCCCTGTAATCCTTTTCATACATCAACAACCACATTTCCAAACCCATATTTACCCAATCTAAATTCTAAAGTTATCAAATTTGTGTCCACTATTTCGTGTTGATATACCTTTTGCTATCTCCTTTCATGCAGCTGTATGTTCCAATCCTTCCACCCCTTTCACTTACCCTCTCCTTAAAATGTAAATTTAGCTAATTTCAAATAACTGCTTTGAGAAAATCAGTAGGCATCATGAGGAGACACGTAGAAATCACAATAGCGTGATATAGCAAATGAATAAATCCACAAGGGCCGTGATGAGGGTTCGAACTTATAAAAACCCGGTTTGTGTCTCTGAGAGACTGCGCGATCCGTGTGAGGGCAGAAGCAATCCCGGTTGCAATTCTTTCACCATGTCGTGGCTCAGTCGATTAAGGCGCGTCTGGGATCATCCTGGACGTAAGTTCGAACCTTCATCACGGCCCTTGGGGATTTATTCATCATGAGGAGGATTCGAACCGGCACACTAGGTGCTACTCCCAAGTAATCGCCTTAGACCACTTTAAGCACGAGATGCAAAAGCAATGCAACTGAGTCCTCCTTAGCTTAAGCGTTGGGAGTAGAAGGCCTATATCACAGCCAAGAGTGCATGCAGGCAGTGTGTGTGAAACCCTAACTTGGCTTCAGTGGAAGCCTCGGGATCCCGTGAGGATTCAGTCAAATCCAAGGTTGAATGTCTTTTTGCACGTCGTGGTTAAGTAGTCTAAGGCGTATGTTTGGGAGTACCCAGTGTGTAGGTTCGATCCCTCCTCATGACTTCTACTGATTTTCTCAATGATACATGACACTTATGGGATTTCTTTGTGCAATAACTGCATTACTGAAGTCAAGATGCACTCTAAAAATATACATACAATCATACATACATATCATATACATACATATATATATATATACATATCATTTGTCATTAACATGAATGTGACTATTTCTTTTACAGAGTTGTGGTTAGGAGCTGGAGCCTGGGGGGACTTGAGCTGACTTCCCTCATACGTAACCTCTGGCCAGGGATGAGTAAGGTCTACAGGACGCCTATGGTACAAGGTATGGTAAGCTACGTAGGTACCGACGTAGAAATGTTCCGTAGAAATGTAAATAACAATGTTAGGTTGGGTAAGTGTCATCCAGCAGGTAAGCTACTGGATGACTGCTCTCTCTACAGTCTCTGATGGAAAGTCTTTGGAAGGCAGGATTGGCAAAGTCGATGGTTACGCGGGCTTCTCTTCCTCACTAGACGGGCACACAGGCTTCTCTTCCTCACTAGACGGGCACACAGGCTTCTCTTCCTCACTAGACGGGCACACAGTCTTCTCTTCCTCACTAGACGGGCACACAGGCTTCTCTTCCTCACTAGACGGGCACACAGGCTTCTCTTCCTCACTAGACGGGCACACAGTCTTCTCTTCCTCACTAGACGGGCACACAGGCTTCTCTTCCTCACTAGACGGGCACACAGGCTTCTCTTCCTCACTAGACGGGCACACAGGCTTCTCTTCCTCACTAGACGGGCACACAGGCTTCTCTTCCTCACTAGACGGGCACACAGGCTTCTCTTCCTCACTAGACGGGCACACAGGCTTCTCTTCCTCACTAGACGGGCACACAGGCTTCTCTTCCTCACTAGATACCTGTCTCTCGAGTGCAAAATTCGTCTTTAGTAAAGAAAAAGTCCTGAACGTTCATCTGGTTAACTCATAGAAGAAACATCCCAGATGGCATTACCTGCTCTCTTATCCTGATGATTAACAACTGATGTTCTAGTGAAGGAAATCCTCTCAGAATATGTCGGTGACTCAATTTCGCCTCACAAGCAGAAGTGCTCCCCATACAGGGGACTTTCCTTTAGCAATCCTTATCTTGCAGTTGGCCAGTGTGATGACTCCCACACCCGTTTATGTGTGGCAAGGTGGAAAGCATCTACTACCGTTTGCACTTTTGGAACTGGAGAGGTTAAAGGGATGGATGACACAGTGGAGTCAAAGGATTATTTCATAGAGAGTCTTGGCTCCGGCTCATCATTGTCGAAGTGAACTTCTATTTTTTTTTGGGGGGGGGGACCATAATCTTGACTATCCTCCTTGTCGTCCACACGATTTACACAGCAACACAGGAGATAAGGGAGGCAGGAAGTATCCATGGTTAAATCCTACACACAACACGATTCGAGAAAGCTTGTTTTTATCTGTTAAAACCGTATATATATATTGTTTGGCTGTATTAGCTTAGGCTGTGTTAGGCATGATTGGGTTAGGTAAGGTGGGTAAGGTTAGGTTAGGTTAGTTTAGATTTAACATCCGTTGGCGATCCGGCTTGTGTACAAGATGATTTGTATTCTCAGGCGGCTGACATGAGAGTGTAAAGGTGCGTAGCGTTCTCTTTGGCTCAATCCTACCCTTCCCCCCCTTGCTGGGCTGGGCTGGTGCCCCCTGCCCCTATCACTGACCTTCACTACGTTCAGCGACTGGCTCATCAGTACAATCTTACTCCTATGCAGGCGATGAGTCACAATAACGTGGCTAAAGTAAGTTGACCAGACCACACACTAGAAGGTGAAGGGACGACGACATTTCGGTCCGTCCTGGACCATTCTCAAGTCGATTGAGCTTTTGACAATCGACTTGAGAATGGTCCAGGACGGACCGAAACGTCGTCGTCCCTTCACCTTCTAGTGTGTGGTCTGATCAATCTTACTCCTGTTGGGTCAAATACCTCTTGAGACACCATACAGCTTGTGCAGAGGGGCAGCCTGGAGCTTGAGCAAATGGCCAACCTCTTAACCATTCATTATAACATTTGTAACCAATTGTATTCAATGTTAACAAGACCCAAAATACAAAATAGGTTGGAGAAAATGTCATAAGCTTTTGTATCTCTCCAAAAAACTCATCGATATTTGACTTTCCTTCTGTTTTTTTGCTGCTTTATTAAAAAAGTTGGTTAATATATACAAATAATAATGTATTAACATAATATAAATTTTGAGTTAGAACAGACGAGTGATTTAATTCATGGTGTGCACGTACAAGGGATTACAATCACCATATTGACTGGTGCTATAGCTCAGTAACTGCTACATGCACCAGTTGGGATACATATAGAAATCAAATTAAATCTGATGTATTCGAGACGTATTCAATGTATTCGAGACGTATTCGATGTATTCGACAACGTATTCAATGTATTCGAGACGTATTCGATGTATAAAAAAAAAGAAACCCCACAGACAGCTGTAATGTGAATAGACACTCAGTGTAATTAATTAATTATCCTTTGGTAATTGATACTTGAATAGATCTTAATACACCTTAATAATTAAGTACTTGATCTGACCGAACTCACTTTGGCTTCCAC